AAAATTAGGACACCGTTTGAATAAAGCGGGAGAGTGCGAGTTGGAATCCAAAGAGAACGTCAAAACAGTTCCATATTTTCCAATCAGATATTCTCCGATTCAATACCTCTAACGAACCCACTTTTCAATCAAAACTCAATCAAGAGCGTATGTTTTAGCTGTCAAAACATTGTCCCAGTCTAGCGGCCACTTTTCGACGCCACGGGAAGATTGTCAGCACAGGTGTATAACGAGAATTATAACCGATGAATAAAAAATATTTAATTGATCTATCACAAACAATTGCGAAAGTAATTAAGCACAATACTGAAACTTTTTTTCAATATTCATTCCTTTTAAAACCACAGCTGTAACAAAAAGCGGATGAGATACTTATCTATAGGATTGGCATGTCAGGGAGGTTGGTATCCATCGGCACCTACTCCTAACTTGAAATAAAAAAAAGAAAATTTAATTCAGGAGATCTCTTAACCAGCCCCTTTTCGGCCTTCATCGTCGTGTGTTTTCTTCCTAATGTGTTGTGGCCATGTTTTTTATAAGTTTGTTGGTATGTCCTTGAATTTTTACAATTTTTTTATATGATGTAAGAACGTGATCTTTTTCTACTGGCATGTGTAAGTCTGAAACTTGAAACTATTTTATTGTTTTTTCCAAAAGATCCCTATGGGTCGTGTTGAATATCTTTCAGCGTAGCGATACAGTACAAGAGCGATGAATGATGAAATAATGAAAGATACTTGTTGATACAGAGAATTTCATAAAATATAGATAATTAATTAATACAATAACATAACATTCTCCCATTTTTTAATAGCATCATCCTAAAAAATAGGCATTTCACTTGATACACCGTGACAGCTTAGTAAGAGGATAATCAATTTTTTTTTAACAGAAGAAAAATATATACATCAACGGTGTAAAGACAAAAAAGGCATGACGAAGAATCATACTATCCCATCGTTTTTTTTTTTTTTTTCAACTTACGCTAAGTTTATACAAAATCGATTATTAAATTACTCGATTTTCTTTTTCCTTTCAAAACTAGAATAAGATAAAAGAACTATCGTTCACGATAGAATACAAAGCATGGTTAACAATGTATTACACATTTCATAATTCTTATTAATGGACTGAATGTGTAATATACATCTTAAGAACTTAATAGTGTAAAATATATATAGATAAATTTGATTAATATTGTACCGGAAAAGTATATGCCAACAACTTATGCATGAAGACACGAAAAAATACTTAGACTAAGTATATGAAAGTTGGTAGGCAAACGATAACGATGGTATCAAGCCCCGTAAAAATGACAAACGGCCGAACAAAATAATTTAATTAGACATACCATCTTTACTATCTATCTAAACGGTTGGCAGGCACATTTCATTTATCTATAATTGGAATAATAATTTAAAAATTTAAATTAAAAAATAAAGTCGTGTTTCAAACGATGAAAATTTCAAAGCATGAAATAATAATAAAACCACCTCCGTTGCCACGTTTTTCACAAGGTCGTAACTAGAACGATTCAAAACAGAGCAGTTCAACAACGATCCGTTCCAGAAATAGAGTCAAAGATAGTTAGATAGACGCTAAGTTGGCACCGAGATATGATTTTTATCGATTCATGGGCTTAGGGCGAGCACTGCCAAACGTAACAGTTCAGCTGCAATCCCGTCATTAATAATGATGTCCAAGGAAAACAATATTCTGGGTGAAGGACAAAGGCATAAATAAACTTGACTAGTTAAAAAAGGAAATTTACTGTTATTTAATAATTAACAATTTAATAGAAGTTAATAGTACTTTTTAAATATCTATTTTATCAATACTGTGGAATAGTAGAAATCAACGCAGAACACAAGTCAAACCAGAAAAAGGGGGCATATTATGGGTTATCACACAAATTAACAAAAAGTTCTTTAAAATTTTTGGAGAGGAGGCAAAAAGTGATATTTTAGGATTGTCCAAGGGATGAGGGAGATATTTTGAAGAAGAAATAAAAAATAATAATAAAAGGCTAAGCGAACCCGAAGGTTCGATGCCGACACCACCAATCGCTTATTACAAACCTCCCTCCACCGGTCTTCGCCCAAACCCAGTTCCTTCAGATCGGATCCCTTCGGAACACGGGCGGATCTACGGGGAGGGGAGGGAGCTTTAGGGCTGAAGCCTCCCCCCCAAATGGCAAAATATAACCATGTATTATGGAAAAGAATATTAAAAAATTATCTCTTAAAGTATTATTGTTCGTGTAATTACATCTAAAAGAACTTAAGGAATCACTTAAACACCATTTCGCATAGGTAGTTTCTTTCTTTTTTTCTAAAGTAAATATCGTCATTTTTATGAAAAAAAAAGCATTCGGGCTGAAGCTCCACCCAAAATTAAATCCTAGATCCGCTAGTGCTTCGGACGTTTACCATTCGGCACCGCAAATATTAACCTTTTAGGAATTCTTTCGTTACTAAGTCCAACAATTCTACAAGCCTATGTAATTCGTCGCGATATAGTCCCCTTAAATAATATTAAACGGATATAGTTCACGCAATGTGGCGTTGTGTAACCCTCTAAACTCTCTGGTTAACTCATTCTTTTTCGGTCAGAATAATCTACGCAATACTTTATTTTCAAAAATCTTAAGACGTTGCTCATCCCTTAATGTATGTGGCAATGAAAAATAATATATTGCGATGATGTAAGATTAATAATATAAATAGCTTGTTGCCTGTATTCTGATAAAATTAGATGAAATAAGTCTGTGTAATAAGTAGCATAAGTTTAGAGGGAGGGAGATTGAGGAGGGGGAGTGAATGCTTGAATAAAAGGAACCATATTGCTGATACGAATTCTAACTATCGAATCTAAAAATTATCACTCTTTCATTATCAATTCACACCAAACAACGAGAATGTTTTAATTTGCACACTAATATAGGTAATATAGGCTTTTATGAATGATTGAAGATTTTGGATTCGCTCTTTAAAAATATTAAATTACAATTACAATCGCTAGCGCACAGGACTGAAAATTTTGGATATTGGATAGTTTGCATTTGTATCGAAGATATCTATTAAGCCATATCTAATATAAAATTGGCGTGTTTCCAGAGTTTATTATAGAAAACAAATAGATTAAGGTGTTTGACTATGTTTTAATTTTTTTTAAATACCACTCCCAAAGGTGATATTGCTATGTAGATGACAAATTTCGAATTATGAACAAATGGAACATTAAAATAGATGCTGAAAATGAATGCTTATCATACTGAAAGATGAAAAAAAAAAAAAAAAAAAAGCACTCCTACAATAAATAACTTTAATATATGCTACCCACTAAGTCTAAAATTACTCTACATTTATTGATATTAAAATTTGGAACTAAACAAATTTCTTTTCATAGCGTTCCATTGACCTTATAAAGGTTATTTGGGTAAAAAAAAAAAACTAACAGTAGATTGATAAACACAAAAACAAAAACTAACAATCAAGACAAAAAATATCTGTAACTTAAAGAGAAAAATTGGCCTTAAGAGCTCCAAGAAACTAAGAAAGAGGATCTAGTAAGGAATTCATTATTTTAATAGCATTATAAAATCAAAGCAACATTATTGTTTCCCTCACACCAATAAAATCATTTTATTGTAAATATATATGATTAAAATAAAGTATTTATAAATATATAAACTTGTATGTTTATAATTTAGAAATCAATGAAAAATTATTACAAGTAAATTTCAACCAGATATCATACTTTTTCATTTGAATTCAATTAAACTGTGTCAATCAACAATTCAAATACAGTTGACCAGCAAAACTGACCCTTAGTGATTCATGTCAAGTCTGAACCACTTCTAATTTTGGTACACGGCAGAAATTTAATAACAAGACAATTGTACAATGTTACCCCTCTAATAAAAACAGACTGAGGTTCACGAGATCATGTGGTCAATTCGTGGAGAGGATAATTATGTATTCAAGGTCTGCGTGAAAATGTATATATCTAGGTCCATATTAGATGCAAATCAGCTTATTGTCTTTTCAGATGGCCCTAAGAAATAGACTAAACAATCAGAGTACAACATATGCAAGTTGTGTGTCACGAAAGACAGCTAGAATTTATTCAACAATGGTTGTGATAGGAATAAGTCAAAATGCTGTAGCGTTTAGTGAAAGTGTTTTCATAAAAATATAGCAAATCAGGTGGGTATATATTAAACATAATGCCAAGTCATAGGGACAAGATTAAGAAAAAGTATTAAAAAAAAATTTGACACATGTCAACTACATGACATTCATTTACATAACGTAATATAACAGTATATTAATACAGCAATAATACTGGTATAAAATATTGTTTAAACTTAAATTTAAATCAATGATAATTGAAAAATGTTATGTTTATGCTATGAAATTCTTAGTAGGAAGACTAAATCAAAATTGGACATTATTTGGATATTTTTAGTAAAGCATAAATTTCTATTATAGGAAGCCTGATCATTTTCAGAAAATATAGTAATGCAGACTTTACTTTCAACAAAAAACATGACTTCATTTCAAAGAAATTTACCACAACTGAGCAGGTTAGTTATATATAAAAACCTATTATTAATAACAATAATTATATAAGTTTTACATTAGATTGGAGTTAAAATTAACTTTAATAAAAAAAAACAAATTAAGAATGAAAATTGCAAATAATTATGGACTATTCATTGCTATACATCAAGTAACGATTAGATACAAACCGTTAAACTTTCAGATTTAATGATATAACTAAGTACTTTATGTATCAATTGTTCACAACAAATAGTAATAACATAATTTATCATTGTTTCTGAAATTACATATTTTCTTTCAGTAATGGAGTTGCGGAAATCCAAGAAACAATCAATGGACATTAAACTAATCATGTCTTTTAGACAAAATTCATTGACCACTGGCATGTGTTTTCGAGAAACACAATCAACAACACAAGTAAAATCTAACATTTAGAAGAATGTGTAATAAGAACGACACGTATTGCCTTTCGGGGCACCACACCATCGAGCAATGGGCTTGGATTGCAGTTGATTCAGTCCTCTTTGTGATGATACTGTGTGGCAACTTGTTCACAGTCTATATTCTGCGCAGTTCACGGCTGATATCCAATCGGTTCGTTCTCAGCCTTGCTTGTACAGATATGCTGGTTGGCCTCACATTACCGTATCACATGGCCTTCACAATATTTCCACAGCTCTCAGTCACAAAGGCTACGTGTATTTTAAAGTAATTTTTGTAATATTATACAATGACTATTTGAATGATTATATAAACATATAAAACCAGAGGAATAATGAATTTCTAACATTTTTTTTAGATTCGTATTTGTTATGATGGCCTGTTGCTGCTCAATTCTGAATGTGACAGCAATAGCTTTCGATCGGTACCTTGCAATCATTCACCCATTTAAATATGAGACCTTAATGACGAGGAGGTGGGTAATGATTAATTGATAAGTTTAATCCTATATATGATCTCTTCATCACTACTTGATAGAATAATTTTTAAAAAATTCAAATTTTCAGAGTTGTACGAAGAGTACTCTTTGTGGCAGGAGTCTTTGCATTGGGAATGAGTACCATTCCTATTTACTGGAACACCTGGGAGGAAGCAACAGTATGTGAGCTTGGACAGGTATATCAGATTATTTATTGCATAAATAATGAAAGTATTTCCATAATCAATACTCAGATTTATCTATTGTAATCAATAAATAAATTCTCATAATTCCCAGATTAAAATTCAAATGTGACTGGCAGGATAATTCATTTATTCTTTTAAACGAGCCATGAATAAACAAAGGGATCAAATCTCTGGCGAGCAAATTGGGTTGGGAGAAAAATTTGGCAGTGACTATGTCACCTCTTGGTATAACCATTGGTCAAGAAACAGTACTCCCTTACAAAATTTGAAGTCTAACATCCTTTATGGGTTGTAGTAGCAAAGTTTAATAAATTTGAAGTTAATTGTTTGGCAGAAAATAAATAAAAGTTTAGAAATAGATCTAACACCTAGCCTGATACAAAAAAAATATTGGAATTTTTTCATGATCAGATTTTTAATTTACACTTTACAAGCCTCATTGAAAAACTTATTATATTTAGGTGCTACCGAGATATTACATGATTGCCATCCTTTTTCCTGCATTCTTAGTCATCTGGGCAATCATGATCGCAATCTATGCAAGGATATGGCATGAAGCTGTCATGCAAGCGGAAAAACTACGTAAAACAAATGTGAGCCAACAATGCAGACCATCTTTTCAGGTAATAAAAAATTACTTCCAGCTGAGATCTTTTCGAATAACCAACAAAGATAACAAGGAATCTATATATATCTTGCAGGTGGTGTTCCTGGTAATGGGCTGCTTTACAATCTGCTGGATGCCGTTTCTCATCGTCACTTGTGCCCAAGCGGTAGGTTACAGGGACAGAATCTCATCTACAGTCTACAAAGTGCTCCTTTGCCTCGCTCTGAGCAGCTCTGCTTTTAATCCTATCATCTACGCATGGAAGAATGCAGAATTCAAGGAAGCGGTGCAAGCGGTCCTAAGGTGCAAAGTGAAACAGAACACTACGAATGTTGTGACAGCTTCAGGGGCTAAGGGATCAGCGCACCCTCAAACCAGTGTGTAGTCGAGTAATACTGTATTTATTCATTATTAAGTCAGTATTAAAAGATAAAAATCTCCCTCAATTTTTTGAAAAGATAATAAAAGTTTGACATGAACATAAAAAAATTATGTTTTTTGAAAAACTGTGACAGTAGATGAAAATCTAGTTATTGATAACAGAAGTTGGACAAATTGAACTGATGTTTTATATTTAACTGATAAAGTAATACTGTAAAACCTTGTTTATCTGGCTCTTGTTGATACAGATCAGCATCAGATTTTTTAAAAATTTAATGTTCACATTAAATAATCATTATATAAATAGGCAAAGACAAAACAGTTCAGTACCTTTTTCACAAAGTAATTTTGTTACAAAACATAGTTCTTTATAATAATAAATAATAACTCTGCTTATTAAGGATTTTATTTTGCTCACTACTATTCGGATTTTCAATTGTCCAAAATTGCCTTTATTTCACTCAGTATGATAAACGAGGCTGTACTTTATTACAAATAATTCCTTAAAATAGTTGGCATTACTAGAATTATTTTAGTTGAACAAATTTATATTTATAATTGAAGGAGAAAATAAAAAAGGAAGTTATCTCCACATATCCTAGTGAAATCATATCTTGTTTTCAACTCAGAACAGACATTAAATCAAAACAATAGAAAAAAAAAAAAAAAATCAAAATAAATTAATAACATTGATTTGATGGCGATGATTAAGCACAATTTTCTTCAGGACAAATATTATACCACAACAGTTTATTGTGTAAAATTAATATTTCATTATGCTTCAACCCCCTACCAATACTTCATAAATGTATATGTAGAAATTTTTTAATCAAAACACTTTAATGGTAAAAAGTATAATACCTAAATTATAAATTTCTCTTCTATTTCTCATTAGCATTACTAAATGAATATTTACATAACTCTCTACTCTAAAGATTATTATCTCATCAATTAAAAAGCTCGAGTAAAATAATTAATTGAAAAACAGTTTTAGAGATGCCATTGTATCAAATTACTTTAACTAGCCTTAAAGTTATTAACTCTTGATGATACTACATGACAAAATTACAAAAACTAAATATAAGGTGAATTTAGTAATTGATTACAATATATTCAATAAGCAATACACAAATATCAATAAATATTACCCCAATATATAGATGCTTTTTACTGTTTCATTCTTATAGTAAAATAATTGGTAATTGGTTGACTGTCGTGGATAATGAAGAGAAGAATAGTTGGGGTGCTCAGTCAAAAGGAAGGCAAAAATCTGATTCTCACTTTGACACTTTAGGAGAAAGCCCTGATGATGGCCTGAACTTCAGGTCGAAACGTCGGCAGATGTAAAAAATAAATATTATAATTTATTTTTGCCTTCCTTTTGACTGAGCACCCCAACTATTCTTCTCTTCATTATAGTAAAATAAAAATCCAAATTAAATAAAATTACAGTAAAACCTCAATAAAATAGAACAAAAAAGCTGAAGCATAAGCCATTTGTAAATGAAAAAAAAAAATGGTAAATAGAAGATGTATTTGTTCTTTGGTTCTCCCCTTCCTTGCCTTTTAGATTATATGGGATAGAGATGTATTTTATAAGCAAATATATTTGTTATGGAACTTTACAAATAAATTAGTTGTGGGAGAAATCTCCGTTACCACATAAATTCTTTTCCAAATATTTTTTAATAGATTTGGCTCTTTTTATTGCTTAAAATATCAAAAGTTTAAAACACAAATTTTTTTCATGAACATAAGACATTTTATTTGATAATAAATTTTTTTTAATAATATAAACTCAAAGCTTTAGAAAAACACCTATAAAAAGATTTTATATGTATAAAAGTTCAATTCATAGAGAATCGTAGTTATTTTTTCCTCTTTCCTTCCATTTTTAACAGTCCACTTCAATAGAAACGTGGTTAATTGAAATCAAATAAATAAGATTTTACTGTAATCGAATTAACTTTATAATTTGCATATCATTTTATAAACAAAATAATTCTAATATCAATATAATACTTTAGAAAATATGTCAAAGAGATAATAACTTCATAGTAATATTTAAATTACATTTTTAAAGACAATTTAGGAAGCTAAGACATCAGTTAAAATTCTCTCAATGCAATTTCAAATAGTTAATATCTTAGTGGTGTCATAAGAGAAAAAAATAATCTTTATCATAAATTATATTCATGTAATGTTAAAATTAATATAAATGTATTAATTTACATATGAAATCTTATAATATTATACACAGGATCTTGTAAAATATATAAATAATATGGAACTGAAATGGTTGTGATATAATTTCTGGTTATCTGTGATTTTATTTTTTCCTTAATAAATGTATAATAATTTGTAAAAATTAGTACAATTTTTTTTAATGATTGTTATATATAGTTGAGTATATATTTTTAGTAATAACTGTGATTCCCATTACATTGTATTTTGTATTATTTAGCTAGTTAGTAAAATTTCTTTAATTTGTTTTTTTTTTTTAATCATGAACGTTATTTATGTTAACTTATTTTATATTCTTTAAAATAAATGTTTTGTTAGATTATCGATGAAAGAAAAAAAAAAACTGGTATGTACTATTTCAAATGAATACACTATTATTATTGTAAAAACATAGAATACAATTTTGTTTTATAAATTATGTGGATAATAGGAAAACAGAATAAATTTCACCACCTATGATTATAGATCAAATAAATAAATCAAACTTATAAGAAATATTACGAATATACCATTTATTAAAATGTTAATAATATGAGCAGTTGTAAGATAAAATTTACAGAATTATTAATGATAAGCATCTATAATGTAAGAATGAAATTGTATATAGAAAAAAGAAAAAAAATTCCCTTCATACCCTCTCCTATTTCCATTCAATATAACAAAAGTATCTTAATTATTAGGTTAAGAAAATTTAGGTAAACCAATTCAAATTTAGGAGCAATAGATGACAATTTCAAAAGGTTCTACCTACTTAGAGGGCACTCCTTGAAGAAGTACTTCTCCCATCCAGTAACGTTAAGAAGCGAAGTCGATTCTGAAGGAAGAAAGCTACATATCTTGAAGAGGTTTATTACTAACATTAACGTGTATGAATAACCAATGTACTATGTTAATGTTGTCAAAATGCAAAGAGTCAACAATGATTTCATATAATAAAGGAATCAAGTTCAAATTTAGTATCATTATTTTTAACTGTTATTTAATCGGAAAAAGTAGTATTATTAGATGTTCTATCGTTTGTTCAATTTTAATATTCCACCTTATATTCTATCTTTTATCCCCACATATATTATTACAGTAAGGCTCGAAATCGGTTTTGTACCAAATATAAGCTACCGTCATGCTCAAATACCATGAAATGGGTTACCGTTGGATTTAGAATTTCACGGGGAGTTTAGTGAATTATATTCTCTGCTTTTGTTTTTCTTTCTAAAATAAATTAAGTTGATACAAACATTTTGATAGGCTTTAATACTGGAACAGTGATAAGTCTGTAGATCAATATGGGACAAATCGGGCTTTGAGGATTTTGATGCGTACAGCAAGACCCACCCGGATAGTTCCCTCAGAACTATCGGATCCTGTGTTCTCCCCAAAACATACTATTTTCGAGCTAATGCAAGGCAAAGGGTTCACATCCACATAACCTTACGTTAATTTTACTACTGTTAGAGAATAAATGTCTCATTTCATGAACTTGAGGCCCCTATGTCCGACGGAGGAGGAGTTTATATTATTTATCAAAGGTTTTGTCGGTAAGCCACATCATCGTTAATTCTTCACCAAATTCTAAGATTGAGCCACCGATTTTGAAGGTTTCCTTCTCCTTCAGGCGGGCAAAATAGTCCAATCACCCCGAAAATTCAGACAAAAAAGTTATGAAGGAAAAGAAACTTTATTTGCGAATAACACAAAATTAATTTTTTAATTAGTTTTCAATATTACCAGCCATATCTAGAAAGTCTTGCAATATCATAGTGCCCAAGACACCTAAAGTTCTAGATCTACCATTTTCTATATATTTTCATTACTTTAGGTCAAGTGAGTGAAACTGAAATTTTGTTTTAATTTATTCAGAAGTTTTATATTAAGATTAAACCATCCCCATATATCTAATAGCAAAAACAACAACTGGAGCACTAAATCTCTGACAAAACATTTATTTAAATATAAAAAATATACTTTTTCTTGGAAAAATAAAAATGAGGAAAATAGAATTACAAATGAGGAGATACTATCAATGACAATAAAAATTAAATAGAGATCATTAAAATTAAAGATGGATATAAATCAGGTTATCCTCAATATAATATTATGTGAATTTCATCTAGTTTGCTAGCCAAGAATTAGGGGGTGTTTCATATCATTGGATCTAAGAACTAATTTCAGGAGAAGTTGGTTGGAACAACTTTCAGGAAAGAAAATATGAAAATAATCAAATAATCCCCACATATATTAATACAGTAAGGCTCAAAATCAGTTTTATACCAAATATAAGCCCCTGTCATGCACAAATACCATGAATGGGGTACCGTTGGATTCAAAATTTAATGGGGGTTAACGAATCCTACTCTCCACTTTTGTTTTTCTTTCTAAAATAAATAAAGTCGATATAAACATTTGGCTAGGCTTCTATACCGAAATGGTAGTAGGTCTGTAAATCTATACAGGATGAATTGGGCTTCGGAGATTTTGATATGTACACCAAGACCCGGACAGTTCTTTCGGAACAATCGGGTTCTGCATTTTGAAGCCCAAAAACATACCACTTTCAAGGTAATGCAAGGCAAGGCAAAGGATTCACATCAACACAACCTCACGTTAATTGTAGTGCTGCAGAATAAATGCCTCATTTCGTAGACTTGATGTCCCTATGGTCGAGAGAGGAGTTTATATTATTTATCAAAGGTATTTTCTTGTCAGCAAGCCATATCTTCGTTAATTCTTCATAAAATTCCAAGATTGAGCCACCCTTTTCAAGATTTCCTTCTCCTATAATTTTTGGCTTTCATAAAGACAGTTTTAGGCAACATGTGCAAAGATCTGCAACACTCGTAGGATAAACTTGGGCCAAAATGTTGGTACACATTAAAAAAGTTTATTTATCTCAGTGTTTTTCCTTTACTGACCTCACCTCCGAACAAAAGACTATTGTATTTAAATACCAAAGACACAAAAAATATACGATAAAGCGTCCCATGACAAATAGTTCAGGCAAGTGTCCCTAATATCCATAAAATAAAGTATAACCGGAATCAACTGGTGTCACACCTTGTTGCTGTTGCGTGTTTTATGCATCAAGTGGACATGATGTATTAGTGAGAGACATTATGCTGAAAAAATTGAAAAGCAGGGCTTGAATCTTTTTTAAAAAAAAATTCTACTTTTATAACAGTTTAGATGGGGGAAAAAAAAGTATAAAAATTCCTAATTTATAGTAAAAATCTGACTGTTATTAATTAAGTATTTGAAAAAAAAAGTTATATTAAATGAGAAACAAATAGTTATTAGACTCAGATTATAGATATAATTATCTTGAATAAATTGTCTGATTCTCATATTAAGAATATACTGCACAATTACCATTTTAATAATATACTTTTTGGCAAGTAGAATTGTTTCAATACTTTTATTAAGTTTTAAAAAATTTCTGTAACATCTTTAATTAAACACTACAAAAAGAAAAAAAAGTTCTAGTACCAAAATAACAGAAAAACCTCCCAAAATCAAAGTTTTAATCATATCGGACATGATTAAAAAAAAGTTAACTTTTCATTCCAAGACCTGTTGAAAATAGCTAAAACTAATGACAACAATATTTTAGTCTTTCCTCTCTCATTTAACATGAAAGCCATTAGTTTGTGGGACAGACTGCTTTTTATCAAATTATTAACACTTGCACAGAACTTTGTGAAAAGCTTCATCTTTTTGTAACTTATAACTTCTTAGTTTACAAAAAAAATCCAAGTAAACCTTGTCAATTTAATGAGGTACTAAACATTCATGAATATCCATTTACCTTCCACTTGAATCGTAAGATAATTTGATTATAAAATCAAGAAAAAAGATGACCTAAAAAAATATAGGGCAGATTTGTGTGATCTCCACCCCCTCTCTCTCATGTCAAAATAATGAGGTTATATAGGATAAACAGCCCAATATATCTGTAGGGCATATTTCTTCTCGATTTTGTGATCAAATTATCTTACAATTCAAAAGGAAAGCAAATGGGTACTCATCAGTTTTTAGTACCACTTTAAATTAATTAAGTTTATCAGAAAACATCCCATTGCTGACAATTTTCAGAGATAAAAAAGTTGTCGATTAGGATAAAATGAAGCCACTCATGAAGTTTTAGTTGAATATTAATAATTTGATAAAAAAGGATCTATACCCCATGGTATAGACCTCTTTTTATCAAATTATTTTATACTATTTGGTCCATTCAAGATAATATAAAACCATTTAGGTTGATAAAACTTCTAATAATCATCAGATAAAAATAAAATTATAATGAACAGAAGTAAACCAGTGACGAGCATTCCGATTTCCGGGCATATATGAAATTAATTTCTTTTGTAATTACTAATTCAGTGTTATTATTAATCAACCATTAACTTTTTCTAATGTCTCAAAGGCATAGATGTGAGATTATGCTTAATTTTCTAGTTTTGGCATTGCTTAAGGTCTCAGGTTCGAATCACAGCTAACGTCAGATTAACTGTTTATTGTTTCATCAGCTGTGGATCGACCCTGGAGTCAGGAAATTCTCCTGGAGCACATCCAGCCTCTATAAAGTGGATACTCTTACTTTAAGAATTATTTAAGGAAGAAAACCAGGCGGTTGAGCGTGATCTCAGTCAAATCACTTCCATACGCAACCGTTGACCTAGATACAATACTTCCTAACATAGTATCGAACCCAAGAGCCTTCATGGGTTGTAGTGGTACAGGTTTTTATTTTATTTTTAACATTACTCGAGGAAAAATCACAATATTTACTTTGATGTATACAAACTTTCATAATCTTTAACTGAAATACTCATTTGCGCAAAATTAGTTTCAAGCTTAGGAGGAACAAAATAAAAAACAAAACCCTTTTTTAATAAAAAAAATTAATTAAACACTTCCTAATGATTAGTAATTTCATCATATTAAAATCAGTTTTCATAATTCTAACAATCAGAAATGAACAGTAGATTAGATGTATTTCAGAAATTCAATGATCTCATACCATGAAACATAAAATTTCACAACTTAAGAATATGATGAATTCTTTTGTTTTTTTTTTTTTTTAATATTACTTCCTAAATGAAGATTTAATCATGAAAATTATCTTTAAAAACATGAAATAAAAAATAGACTTACCTCAACGCCAGTAACACCAAGTGCTGCTCTCAAGTTCGGAGTCAACCGGAATGGCACTTTTTCAGGAACTCGAAGAGTTTTTCCTTTTTCAAAGCAGACGTTGTAGTCAATATGAACTACCTAAATACGAATAAAATGAAATGACCCACAAAAACTTTGATTTGTTATAGTTAACCTATCATTATTGGCCTGGTTAATACACTCCTGGCGATATGAAATTTTATTGTTATTTATCATTATTTGTTTACCTCTCCAGTCTTCAGGTTAACTAATACATTATCCAGATGCCTGTCTCCAAGACCAATTATGTAGCCAATCATGGACATTACGGCCAATGATGAGGAGTAAAGTTTAGTAATTTGCCACCAGTCAGATGAATTGACGCTGTGACACCAAAGCTCTCTGAGAAACAGAAGGGATATAGATTTAAATAATAGCCCAAAATAGATTTAAACAATATCACACTTTATATAAACTAAATTAAATAAAAAACAAAATATATTTAACACATTGAATTTCTGCTGAGTTTATTTACGACCAGGCAGTAGTTGGTACAAGATTAATGTCTATGACTAAGATTTTTTTTAGAGAAAAATCTTGGTTTCCTGGCAATTTAATAATATGTGATTAGATAACAACATTTCTAGACTATAACCTGTATTACAGGATAACATGGAGGATTAATGAAGTTGAACTATGATTAATTGATTTATAATTTATGTAAATTTGAAATATCAAAAATAACTTATAATTATGAGAATATGGATCCCACAGGTTGATACTATTATTAAGGAATATCGGAACTAATAAAAAATTGGAATAATACTACT